TAGCACAAAACCCAAATGCACCGCTGGGTGTGGCTGTCTTTTGCAGTCAAGTTCACAAGGGCAGCATGGACGAGCTCCATCCTGCCTGCACCCAGATATCGGCATACATAGCAAGCTTGAGGGAAGCAACCTTCCTGAAAAATGTTTGCTCGTATGAAGTAGCAGAGCCTTTGTGAGGTCCATGTAGGCCTCACATTCTCGGAAGCACAGGCCTCCACAACGAGTAAAAGAAATAAACGGCTTATATGCGTTTCCCTTCTGTAGAAGCTGAATTCTGTAACATCTCATTCTCAAAATTCAAATTAAAGTCAGATTGGAGCTCACCTGCGTCTTTCTGTTCTCCCAGCTTGTCCAGGATGTTGAACGTTATGTCCAGGTATTCCCTCTGTATTGCGCTGACCGCGATCTTTCTTTGCTTTCTCTGCCTGGGGACAATTTGTATCTTAAACTCAGATTCTTCTGTTTCTTCCTTCTGCTCAGCATTCTGCTCCGGGTCAGATTCTGCGCTAGCATCCGGCTTATCGCTCTCTATCTGGTTTTCGCCTTCTTCTGGCAAATTCAGGTGAACGCTTTTTACGGGGGAATTGGCTTCCTCCGCGGTGTCCTCTGTGGCGTCCTCAAAGCTGTCATCCACCGACATGCCGGTGAGTGCGCAGGACTTGCGCAGCTGGTCTCGCTTCTGCTTAAGAGTCAGCGGGCTCCCACTGGAGGCCTCCTGAGAGTCTCCTGGCTTCTCCAACTCTTCAAAGTCTTTTTGATCTTGTAGAGCTCGGGAAGGGAAATCATCGGCTTCCAAAGAAGGATTATAGCTGAAATCCCTGACAGTAAAGGTTTTAGAACAGTCTTCTACACTTACTTGTACCAGGGGCATCATGCTAAGGCTAAGTACTGAGGCACTGATGGGAGTTGAAGAAGCTGAGATTGCTATAGTCTCACTGTTCAGGAGCTGGAACTCCTCATCATCGCTTTCTACAATTCTCAAGGGAGGCAGAGGCTCAAAGACCAAAGAGTCGCTGTCGGAGGTGGATAAAATGGACTGTTTCTCTGGCCCCGATGTTGAATCCGAAGACAAATCAATGAGGTCCAAGTCTTCTCTTGGTGAAGGTGGTTTTCCTGGAGAGTCCACCTTGACCTCAAATGTCTCCATGCAGCTGAACCTCACCTCTGGTATGACGGGTCTTCTGACTTCCTGGCAGCTCTCTCTTTGTGATAGATTCTCATTGGTGTTTACATTATCAGGTTTTGAGGATGAGTTCTGCCTCGAACGTCCGTAGTCGTTCATTTTCTGGGTATTGGAGTGGCTGATGTCACACCGGTCAATGCAAGACTTCCGGCGATGCTCGTCAAGAGTGAACAACAAAGAGTCTGTGTTGCCAATGTCCAGGGACTTTTGTTTTAGGGACCGTAACCTTTTCTTCTGGTTGGTGTCTTCTCTCACGCAACGTAGAATGCTGTCCCCAGATTCCCTGTATTCAGCCAGTTCAATCTCACCTAGAAGTAAAGCAGAAGAATAAGAAGCCTTCATGACTCCTCCATCTCCTATGAAATGAAGATGTCTTTTGCTTTTCTGCTATAAAATGGACAATTTAGCAGAAATGGACTTCCAGGACGCATGAACAATTATGAACCCCCCCCCAACAATTAATACTGTACATGTCCTGGAGGAAAAGGCATAACTATAACCGTCAAAGGGCCCTTCCCAATGATCCCGGGATCTTTACAGAATTTCCACTTACATCAGAGTTCACAGAGTTCCCCCCTTACATCAGAGTCCACAGAGTCCCCCCTTACATCAGAGTCCACAGAGTTCCACCTTACATCAGAGTCCACAGAGTTCCCCTCTTACATCAGAGTCCACAGAGTTCCCCCTTACATCAGAGTCCACAGAGCTCCCCCTTACATCAAAGTCCCCATCATTCCCATAGCCCCCTTAACATCAAGGTTACCCTTTAGAGTACATCAGACCCTGATGTAAAAGGGAACTCTGCAGACCCTGATGTAAAGAGGAACACAGTGGACCCTGATGTAAAGGGGAATGCTGCAGACTCTGGTGTAAAGGGGAACTCTGATGTAAGAGATTCTCTTGTCTCCAGAGCCCCGCTTACATCAGAGTTCGCAGAGTTTCTCTTTACTTCAGAGTCTGCAAAGTTTCCCCTTGCCATGTAAGGGTGAACTTTGCTGACCCTGATTTAAGGGGGAATGCTGGGAACTTGGATGTTGTTTCATCTAAAATGACTTCTAACAGAAGAAAATACCCTGCGCTTGGATTTACAGCCAATGAAGAAATACTATAGGCAAAGTCAACAGTTCAATACAGTTCTTAAAATGATGAGTGGAAACCATTGTGAAAGGCAATTTTCGTGAAGAAAGATGGCTTCCTTTTCAATCATCCCAATGAAGAACGCTAAAGGTAGCCTCTAGTAGACATCCTTTAACCGAAATTGGCTTAAAACGGATAAAAACAGCTTGCACTTAGATCCACAGCTAATGAACAATCATAGGAAAGTCAACACGTTGATACATTTCTAAAATTATAGCTGGAAACCATTGCGAAGGACAATTTTCATAAAGAAAGATGGCTTCTGTTCTAGTTCTCCCAATGAGGAACACTGAAGGAAGCCTCTAGTAGGCATCTTATTAACCTAAAATGGCTTGTGATGGAGGAACACCTGCTTGGACCTACAGCTGATGAACAAACAACCCATCAATATATTTCTGAAAGGATGGGTGGAAACCAGTAAACGCAACATCGGGAGAAGATACCACTAAAAACAAAACAAAAAACAACGTCAGAACTTATAAAAAACTTTTTCCATTTCCTTCTCCCTCAGTGACTCGTTTCCAGGTGAAATGAACGGAGGAAGTCCCAGATTTGAATGGAGAGGACTGGGACGACATGTGGACCTCTCCATTTTCTCATCTGGTATTCTCTTGAGATAGATTTCAGATTTGTACCCAGGATTTATTATGCTCCTTCTAAACTGGCTCAAATCTAACCGCAGGTGTCTGCGGAGTGCTGGCGCTGCTCAAACTCCCCGTCCACCTTTGGACCCATCTTTTGGAAGTGTCCTGTAGTTCAGAATTTCTGGAAAGAATTGCCGCATTGTATTACTGAGATCACATCTGTACCATTACCTTTTTCCTCTCTCTCATTATTGAGGGACCTTTCATTCAATACCTTTGCCTGTGTCAGTTTGTTTCCCCCCTTTTTTATTTTCACTAATTTATTTATACTTATTTTATTTTTATTGAATGTTTTCCCTTTTTTATTTATTCTTTTATTTCATTTTATTTCATTTATATTTTTATTTTTCTGTTTATTTTCAAATTTTTCCATCTTTTTTGCTCTGCAGCCTCTGTTCTAGTTTCCCCTTTTTCGAGTTCATTTACATTTACTTTTTCTATTTTCTCTTTTTTTTCCCCCTTTTTGTTTATCCAGCTCTGAACTTTATTTGTTCTCTTTTTTCTTCTAGCTCAAAAGGTTGTATTTCCTTTCCCGTCTTTTTCACACTGTTTTTTTAGGTTTACATTTTTTTAAACAATATACCTGGATTCTCCTTGCTTTCCTTCTTTCCTTTTTTTTGTCGGGAGCTCACTGGCTCCATCACACACTCAGCTTCTGCCTAGGCTGCCCACTGGCCTATCCGGCGCCGGCATCATGCATCTCCATGATACCGGCGGCAAACCTGTTGACTAGTAGGTCCCGGGGCGCATACGCACAGAGGAACACGCCTGCCCGACACCTGCATCATATATTTCCATGACACCAGTGATCGGCTTGGTAGAGTTGATGGGCCCGTGGTGCGCATGTGCCTAACGGGACAAGCCTGCCAAGCACCTGCATCATATGTGACCATGACACTGGTGATCGGCTTGGTAGAGTTGATGGGCCAGTGGTGCGCATGCGCCTAACGGGACAAGCCTGCCAAGCACCTGCATCATACGTGACCATGACACTGGTGATCGGCTTGGTAGAGTTGATGGGACAGTGGTGCACGTGCGCCTAACGGGACAAGCCTGCCAAGCACCTGCATCATACGTGACCATGACACTGCTGATCGGCTTGGTAGAGTTGATGGGACAGTGGTGCACGTGCGCCCAACGGGACAAGCCTGCCAAGCACCTGCATCATACGTGACCATGACACTGGTGATTGGCTTGGTAGAGTTGATGGGCCTGAGGTGCGCATGCGCCCAACAGGACAAGCCTGCCAAGCACCTGCGTCATATGTGACCATGACACTGGTGATCGACTTGGTAGAAATGATGGGCCTGCGGTGCGCATGCGCCCAACAGGACAATGCCTGCCAAGCACGTGCATCATACATGACCATGAAACTGGTGATCGGCTTGATAGAGTTGATGGGCTGCGTTGAAGACATGCGTGTGTACGAAACGCGTAAGCTGGAGCCAATTACACCGGGTGTTAGAGACAATGTTTAATGATTATTCTCTTTTATGGGCCCAATATTTACATCTGGAGGAACGTTATAGACACCTATTTCTTTGTGTGGCCCACGGTGGCTTTGATATCCCGTACTGCCATTGTCTTGCCGGTTGGGATAGCCTGGTTGGGGGGGGGGGGCTTGTTTGGAATGGAATTATGTTGGAATTATTACTCTCTCTGGTAACGGCCCTGCGAGGCTGCTGGTTGTTGTGGGTTTTTTTTTGTTATTTTTTGTTTTTTATTTTTTTGTTTATTTTTGTTATTTCATTGTCAAGCTGTATGTGTTTACATATGCAAAACTCAATAAAAATAAATAAAAAAAAAAAAACATAGGGAGAATATTCAAACTTCATCCAAACCGTACAATGGGCGAAAAGTTAACCCCAGATTCCAGTTCTAACTTGTAGGCCCCAAAGACATCCCAACAGAAAGATAAAGGCAATATTCATACTTCTCTGGGCACTCATCTCCACCGGTTGGTATTTCACGATCTTGCTCCCGCCGATCCTCTTTAATCGGGCAAAGAAGGTCTGCGATTCTTTATTTCCGGCCCCGGTTGGCGTATCGTGGATATCAGACTCGTCAAACACGCTGTCCTCCTCCGCTAAGGTGGTCAAAGCACAAACATTGGAAATGAATAAAACCCAGTGTTGAATCATCTAGAGCAGGGGTCTCCACACCTTCTAAACATAGGGCCAGTTTACTGTCCATCAGACTTTTGGGGGGGCGGAGTGTGGCCATGGGGAGTAGAAATTGTCCCGGCATCAGTGGGAGTAAACAACACATCTTTGGCATTAGGGGGAGGAATAGTGCCCCATCCTTAGTGTCAGTGGGAGGAACAGTGCCTCATCATTGGTGTCAGTGGGAGGAATAGTGCCCCATCATTGGTATCAGTGGGAGGAAGAGTGCCCCATCCTTGGTGTCAGTGGGAGGAATAGTGCCCCATCCTTGGTGTCAGTGGGAGGAATAGTGCCCCATCCTTGTGTCAGTGGGAGGAATAGTGCCCCATCCTTGGTGTCAGTGGGAGGAATAGTGCCCCATCATTGGTGTCTGTGGGAGGAATAGTGCCCCATCATTGGTGTCAGTTTGAGGAATAGTGTCCTATTGTTGGTGTCATTGGGGGGAAATAGTTCCCCATCCTTGGTGTCAGTGGCAGGAATAGTGCCCCATCATTGGTATCAGTGGGAGGAATAGTGCCCCATCATTGGTGTTAGTGGGGGGAAAATAGTGCCCCATCATTGGTGTCAGTGGCAGGAATAGTGCCCCATCCTTGGTGTCAGTGGCAGGAATAGTGCCCCATCATTGGTGTCAGTTTGAGGAATAGTGTCCTATTGTTGGTGTCATTGGGGGGAAATAGTTCCCCATCCTTGGTGTCAGTGGGAGGAATAGTGCCCCATCACTGGTATCAGTGGCAGGAATAGTGCCCCATCATTGGTGTCAGTGGGAGGAATAGTGCCCCATCATTGGTGTTAGTGGGGGAAATAGTGCCCCATCATTGGTGTCAGTGGCAGGAATAGTGCCCCATCCTTGGTGTCAGTGGCAGGAATAGTGCCCCATCATTGGTGTCAGTGGGAGGAATAGTGCCCCATCATTGGTGTCAGTGGGAGGAATAGTGCCCCATCCTTGGTGTCAGTGGCAGGAATAGTGCCCCATCATTGGTGTCAGTGGGAGGAATAGTGCCCCATCATTGGTGTCAGTGGGAGGAATAGTGCCCCATCATTGGTGTCAGTGGGAGGAATAGTTCCTCATTCTTGATGTCCGTAGTAGTAATTGTGCCCCATTGTTGGTGGAAGGAAGGAAATAGTGTCTTGTATCAGTGGAAGGAAAAGTGCCCCGAGGGCCAGATAAAGGCAAGCAAAGGGCCACATCAGGCCCCCGGGCCGCAGTTTGGAGACCACTGATCTAGACTACAGAGCTGGCCCCGGAGTATATGGTTTTAGCTTTCACAAGCCACACAGCATGTCCCGCTAGGAAGGTTTCTACATAGAAGAGTTCATAGCACAACAATCATATACTGCAAGTGATCTGGGTATACTATCCACTGCTAACCACACAAACAATGGGCGTTCCTAAAATGGGTAAGACTTCAAATGAAAAAGTTCAAAAAGTCTACAAAGTCCCATGTATATAAAAGTGTATATTTGTCTCTCTCGCTGGCAGCCCCAGACAGGAACAGGTCTCTGAAAGCACAAGGGAGGGAAATATGGGGGCGCCAGCTAAGTGTAGCATAAATAAAACGTTTATTAGTAGAAAACAACCAATTGCAGACTAGAGTGACAATAAGTACAAGTGAGGAAGTGAAGAACAACCACTCTGGAGACGAGCACTCTGGAGACAACTACTCTGGAGAGGAGCACTCTGGAGAGGAGCACTCTGGAGACAGGCACTCTGGAGACAACTACTCTGGAGACAGGCACTCTGGAGACAGGCACTCTGGAGACAGGCACTCTGGAGACAGGCACTCTGGAGACAACTACTCTGGAGACAACTACTCTGGAGACAACTACTCTGGAGACAACTACTCTGGAGACAACTACTCTGGAGACAGGCACTCTGGAGACAAGCACTCTGGAGACAAGCACTCTGGAGACAAGCACTCCGGTTGCTATGGTAAAGTGTCTCGGAGTGGTGATTCTTCCCTTCCAGGATCGCTTATCTGCAGCCAAATACAGGATGCTAGGATTCGTCCACCTGGAATACCGCACGAAGCGGCTGACAGTGTGCAGTCAGTGGATGGACTACAGAAGAGCCGAGTCCATGGATACCGGAAGTGAAGAACCACCACCTCCGAAACACGTTACCATAGCAACAGGCCCACCCTACAGGTGATGTCACTTCCGCGCTCCAGAGTGGTTGTTTTTTCACTTCTTCACTTGTACTTATTGTCACGCAAGTCTACAATTGGCTGTTTTACACCAATAAACTGTTTATGGTACACTTAGCTGGCGCCCTTTTGTGTCTCGTGTAATAAAGTTGTGGTAAAGGCTAGCTCTTAGTATTCTTTATAATGTTTCCTCCTGTTTCATGACGGTGTATGCAGAGCCCGACTCTCGTTCCTGGGAATGTCTGGAGCAGGGGCGGACTGACAACTCATGGGGCCCCCGGGCAATAGGGGATAATGGGGCCCCTGTGTCCTTGGCCAAAATCAAAAAAGCCTATGAAAAAGGTACCAGGGGCATCTAATGGGGCCCCCTACTGACCCCGGGCCCTCGGGCAGTGCCCGAGTTTCCAGATGGTCAGTCCGCCCCTGGTCCGCAGCTGTGAAGGTGAGTGTCTCTCTCACCATGGGGGATGGTGGCTGGTGTATGGGGGGCAGTGGAAGGCTCAGGTGGAGGGCAGGGGTGTTCTTGGTCAATGTCAGGCTCTGTGTGGGGAGGGGGGGGCGCACGCCAATTTTTGTGTTACCTAGAGCAGCACAAAACCTAAATACACCACTGGTTAGGGATTAACCTCTTAACGCTGACGTAACACAAATATGCGGCCTCACAGGACTGGGCATTTTTCTGTGGGACCGCATATCTGAGTACCTGTCTTTCTGCTGGAAGCACGCCGCACGGCGCACTCCCAGCACAAAGACCGCGGTGTCACTGAAAGCATCGGGTCCCGTTCTAACAATCAGGACTCAGGGCTCCCGATTCCGGGTCACATGATCGCTGTGATAGCCTCTGATTGGCTGTCACAGCGATCAGTCACTGTACAGCCCGGCCCCCTTGTTTTTTTTTCTCTCTATGAATGGAGGAGAGAGATACATTGTATCATTATATACATTCCATTATACATTGTATCATTATATACATCCTATTATACATTGTATCATTATATACATCCTATTATACATTGTATCATTATATACATTATATCATACGTTGTATCTCTCTAACTCCTGGAAGAGAGAAAACAAAAATGTTTGTAAAAAGAAAAAAAAAAAAAAAAAAAGATAAATAAATAAATATTAAAAAAAAGAAATATTAAAAAAGAAAAAAAAGAAAGAAAAAATACCTAGATTAAGGTTTGATCTAGTTCAGTGCCAGGGTAAGTGTTTGGGTCAAGGTCAGGGTCAAGGTCAGGGACAATGGTCAGGATTAAAAAAAAAAATTGGTATCAGTGTCAGTTAGTGTTAATGTCAGTGTGTTTTAGGTAAAAAACAAGACAAAATGCGCACTATTGTCTCTGGGCCGCACTCCGGGTACAAACAACAAACAACATCCACATATATGGTATCACTGCGATCGTCAAGAGCTGGAGAATGTATTTTGGATTGTTCTTTGGTGGTAGGTTATGGTAGTAACAAGAAACACACAAATAAATAAAAAAAACTATTTTTTTTACTATTTTGAGCCAGTTTTCCTTTGCTAATAAAAAAAAAAAAAATCAGGAGATATCCATTACCATTTACCACCAAATGAAAGCCCAATTTGTCGTAAAAAAAAACGCAGTATAATACAAAGTAGTTGTGATGATATGTGCGGTTTTACTAACACAGGTCAACGTTGCAAAATTGTGCTTAGGCGTTTACATTTGTTTTACCCTCAGGCGTGAAGGGGTTAATAATTAAGAATAAATAAAGTTGGCCCTTACTACCGCTTTAATGCATCAGCTCGTCTATGATGTAATACAAAATCGCAGCACACCCTTCATTGTAGACGTGGCACCAAAATCAGAGAACTATCACCGCCACGACCACGAATGGCGGGGCTCACCTTTTTCCTTTTCGCTGTATCTGCTGATGTTGCTGTTGTCGCTGTACAGCGGCCCGGCGGTGGCATGCGGTTTGCAGCTGTGGTACTGGGCGTTGAGGGTGTTGACGGTTATGTGGATCAGATGCAGAACGATCTTGCTGAGGTCAGCTTCTCTGTACGGGTACTGGAAGACGAGGAAAAGTTATCTTTAATGTGCGGTCATGGCAATGCGGAGCATAGAAATGGCGCCACCCATGTCACGCCGTCAGACACCGACTCCAACCTGTCTTGTTGAAATGGATAATTGGTTCCTGATCCTAAAAGTTACTCTGAATTCCGAAAGATACTATTATCATGTAAAGCTGAGATACATATATACTGTATACTTGTCATTCTCTCCGCGTGGTCCTGAAAATTCTACAGCACAGCCCTGCATGGTGGGGCAGGAGCAGGGGAGGACTGACCATTCGAGCACTCAGGCACTGCCCGAGGGCCTGGGGTCAGAAGGGGGCCCCATGAAATGCCCCTGGTACCTTTTATAGGCTTTTTTGGGTGTGCTTTGAGTGTGGACAAGGACACAGGGGCCCCATGATCCCCTATTGCCTGGGGGTCCCATGAGTTGTCAGTCCGCCCCTGTGCAGGAGACCTGATTTTTTTCTCTGCTGCAGTTCCTGAATACTTACAGGTCTTGTTCCTCCCCCAGCCTGTGATTGGACAGTGAAAGGAGAAGCAGGTCTTGTCCCTCCCCCAGCCTGTGATTAGACAGTAAAAGGAGAAGCAGAAGACTGATGAACTCATCTCTCTGTCCCTCTGCTCTCTCCTGCTGTCAGCAAGCCTCTTGTGAGCACCATGTGTTTGGCTCCTTGTTCGGCTTCTCCCTTCCCTCAGTCTGAGCTCTGCTATACAGTGGCCTGTAAGAGGCTGATATGAGGTCACATCGGAATACTATACTTCTTATATATACATTTAGGAACATATTAATAACTACAGAGATGTTGTTTTCTTTATTCCTGGTGTTCAGCTTTATATCATTTTTAAAGTGAGATCAACTTTTTTCCGCAGCTACTGAAGAAGCACAAGTCCCGCAATAGCCCATCATTACACTATAAGGAGCTGTCATCGGAAAAAAGAAAACACACGAAATTGATACATTGTTTCCACTCATTTAGCCTCAGATAAGGAAGTCCGCTGACGCAGTGTCACACAAGATGATGACCGGCCCTCGGGAAGTGTCACATGCAGACGGATTGGAACATCTCGGTGTCATGGAGTCAGACCGGAGCTGACAGGTGTCTGCAGTGTGAGTGACCCCAAGTCTGCAGAGGAGCCCCTATTACCATAAACATGGAATTCTTTGTATGGGACGTCAGCAGCTTGAAGAGCAGCTGACAGACAATGATCCGAACCAAACCGAGTCCTGTGTCTACATATTCATGAGATTGATGTACAAGCTTTATAATGGAAATATCCAGTCATTGTTATTTAATTACAGCTAAAATAAGTGGCAATAGAAATGTAAACCAAAATTCCTTCCTTTCCCTTCCATCCTTCCTCTCTCCCTTCCATCCTTCCTCTCTCCCTTCCATCCTTCCTCTCTCCCTTCCATCCTTCCTCTCTCCCTTCCTTTCCCTCTTCTGTCCATGCTTCCTATCTCTCTTCCTTCCTCTCTCCCATCTTTCCTCTCTAATCTTTCTTCCTCTCTCTATTCCTTCCTCTGTCCCTTCCTTCTGCTCTCCTTTCCTTTCTTTCGCTCTCCCTCCCTGCCTTCCTCTCTCTATTCCTTTCTTCTTTTCCCTTCCTTCCTCTCTCCCCCTTTCCTCTCTAAACTTCCTTCCTTCCTCTCTATTTCTTCCTCTCTCCCTCCCTTCCTCTCTCCTTTTCTTCCTCCCTCTCTCCCTCCATCCTCTCTAAACTTCCTTTCTTCCTCTCTCCCTTCTTCCTCTCTAACCTTCCTTCACACTTCTATCCTTCCTTCCTCTCTCCTTTCCTTCCTTCCTCTCTCCCTTCTTCCTCTCTAACCTTCCTTCACTCTTCTATCCTTCCTTCCTCTCTCCTTTCCTTCCTTCCTCTCTCCCTTCTTCCTCTCTAACCTTCCTTCACTCTTCTATCCTTCCTTCCTCTCTCCTTTCCTTCCTTCCTCTCTCCCTTCTTCCTCTCTAACCTTCCTTCACTCTTCTATCCTTCCTTCCTCTCTCCTTTCCTTTCTTCCTCTCTCCCTTCTTCCTCTCTAACCTTCCTTCACATTTCTATCCTTCCTTCCTCTCTCCTTTCCTTCCTTCCTCTCTCCTTTCCTTCCTTCCTCTCTCCCTTCTTCCTCTCTAACCTTCCTTCACTCTTCTAGCCTTCCTTCCTCTCTCTATTCCTTCCTCTGTCCCTTCCTTCCTCTCTCTCTTCCTCCTTTCTCTCCTTCCTTTCCTATATCCTTCCTCCCTTCATCCATTCCTTCCTCTGTCCCTTCCTGCTTTTCCTCATTCCTTCTGAACTTCCCTCCTTTCTTCCTTACAAACTTCTGTCCTTTTTTTGTTTTCTGGAACTTATCCAGGTCCAGGCAGGAGTCCTGACAGGCAGCAGACAGAACAGTATTCTGGTCTTGACAGGCGGCAGGCAGAATAATATTTGAGTCTTGGCAGGCAAGAGAACAGTCCGGGTCAGTCTGAGTCAGCAACAGTCAGGCATTCTTGAGGGTGAGTATTATAGTCCTTGCAACAAGGGGAAGCTAGTGAGAAGACACAAAACCAGACACTTCACAGGCTGGAGTGTAAATACCCATTTGGTCAGGGGACATACCCAGCGCTAATTCAGAGAACTCTGGAAGTCCTGGCAGGGATTTTGGAAGTGTTGTACCAGTATCAGTTTTCTAAAATGAGGGTCAAGTTGGAAATGTATTTATGTATTATAGTCTCCGATGTGTACAGTATATACACTATATCACCAAAATTATTGGGCCCGGCCTTTCCAGACACATGACCTTTAATGGCCCCCCAGTCTTAGTCCATAGGGTTCAATATTGAGTTGGCCCCGCCCTTTTCCCCACACATGACCTTTAATGGCCCCCCAGTCTGAGTCCGTAGGGTTCAATATTGAGTTGGCCCCGCCTTTTCCCCACACATGACCTTTAATGGCCTTTGGAGCTATAACAGCTTCAACTCTTCTGGGAAGGCCCCCCACAAGGTTTAGGAGGGTGTCTATGGGAAAGTTGGACCATTCTTCCAGAAGCACATTTGTCAGGTCAGGCACTGATGTCGGGGGGAGGAGGGGCTTCCAGTCTCCGCTCTAATTCATCCCAAAGGTGTTCTATGGGGTTGAGGTCAGGACTCTGTGCAGGACAGTCAAGTTCCTCCACCCCAAACTGGCTCTCCTCCATGTCCTTTATGGACCTTGCTTTGTGCACTGGTGGGCAGTCATGTTGGAACAGGAAGGGGCCATCCCCTAAACTCCTCCCACAAAGTTGGGAGCATGAATTTGTCCAAAATGTTGCCTTAAGAGTTCCCTTCACTGGAACTTACGGGAGGGCCAGAAGCCCATCCCTGAAAAACAACCCCAGCACCATAAGTTCCCCCCCCCCTCCCACCAGAACGTTCAACCGAATGCACACGGGGTTAGGGCTGGCACAGGGCACCATGTAAGGAGGTTATTCGGACGTTGGGAAGTACCGTTCTCCTGGCAAAGTGCCAAACAGTCAGTACACTGAACCTGCTTGTTGATCTAGAGTATATTGGTGAACAGGTATCGCTCTCCTTGCAGTAGAATTTCTAGGTCGGGGGTACCCAGCTCAAGGTAAAGTTTTAGTGGTTAAACCGGTGTACTTGAGGGCTTGCAGGCAACTCTGTGATGTTAAAGGCTTGGATGCATCTACTCGGTCCATGGAAACCCCGTTCCAAGCTCCTAGCAAACTGGACCTAAACCCCAAACATGGAGGTCTTTAATATGGACCTGCAGACAGTGTTTGTGCACTGGTGTTTTTGGCTTCTTCAGCAGGTGTGGCGACTGACCTCAACGCTTGGGATGTGTGGACTTTGTTTGTGTGCCATACCACTCTGGTGGCCTTGAAGTGTTGTTCCCAGTTGCTTCCATCCTTCCCCAAATCCCCCACTAACGGTTTTTTGTTGAGAGCGTGGTTAGTAGTTAGTACCACGGTTGAAATGTTCAGGGATGGATTTGTCCGTCTATTGAGGGCAAAGTAGCCAGGTGGGCCACCTATCAGGCCGGGACAACCCGCTTGAAAAGTCCACTGAGCTGATCCTGAGAGCGACTCATTCAAGGTTTCCACCAATGTTGGTCCAGGTAGGAAGCCTAGGGGCTGCATGCCAAACGGGTCTTTGTAACACCTGGTGGCCAATGGAGTCATGGATTGAGTAACCGTTCACATGATATGGAAACCCCACGATTTGCTCAACACCCCACCAACACACTGATGATATGGAACGGATTGCACAATCACAGAATGAAGTGGGATTGGAACACCGTGAATCAGGAACACCTTAACCCGTTCATGATCCTGGAGGGGATTGGAACGACCTAAGGAATCCCAGATTGGAGGTGTAACTTTGTAACACCTGAACGGATTGGAGGGGATTTGGAACACCTGAATCATTGCACTGGGGAGGTATTGGGAAGTGATTGGATGGTCCTGAATCCAGGTGGAATGGTAACGAGGGGATTCCACCACTGACATTGGGAGCCATTGAAGGGGGCCCTGAAGGGCGCCATGATTGGACGGCTTTGCGCACTGTTGTTGCACCTGAATCATCGGTGAACCGGCGCGGGCGGAGGGGATTGGGAACACCTGAATCAAGCATTTGGGGAGGTTGGATTGGAACAGCTACTCACATGATTGGGAGGGGATTGAACACTGCATGAACCCATGATTGGGAGGGGATTGGAACACCTGCGCACTGTGCGCTTTTGAGGATGGATTGGAGCACTGAGGGGGTGCACCCGCTCTGTCCAATCAAGTGAACTGGAGGCCACGCGGCCGCCCCCCCACCCGGGGAAGTTGTCGGGCCTACCACTTGGTGTGGGGTTGAGTGGCTGGAGTAAACGAAGACCGATGATCTCAGTGATACACCGCATCCAGTTGCTAACATAGATTAAGTATAAATCGAGGAACGTTTACCAGAGGGGGTTGGGTTGTGTCGTGGAAATTGTGTTGAGGATGTACAAGCCAGGAAATGTTACGGATGGACTTGGGGGGGTGAATTGCCCAGGAGTCGATGACCCCTACCACACTTTGTCAGTATAACTGAGGTAACGCTGTGGATGTTGAGAATGGTATGATGCTTTTACCCCCAGGGGAATGTTGGGTGTCCTGGGGTGAGGAAATAGTTGACCGACTTACATTCCTCCCTTTTCACCAATGTTTTACTTGGCACAAATGCAGTCAGGTAAGTACCGTTCTCCTGGCAATGCCAACCCCAGACACGTCCAACGGATTGCCAGACAGAGAAGTGTGATTGGTCCCTCCAGAGAACAGGCCTCCCCTGCTCTAGAGGTTCAGTGGCGGTGTACTTTACACCACGGCTTTGCATTGCACTTGGTGATGGAAGGCTTGGATGCATCTACTCGGCCATGGAAACCCATTCCATGAAGCTCTCTACGCACTGTTGTTGGACTCATCTGAAGGCCACACCAAGTTTGGAGGTCTTTAGCTATTGACTCTGCAGACAGTTGGTGACTTCTGCGCACTGTGCGCTTCAGCATGCGCTGAACCCCGCTCTGTCATGTGACGTGGCCTACCACTTGGTGGCTGAGTGGCTGTTGTTCCCCAGTTTTGCTTCCACTTTGTGTTATAATCCCACTAACAGTTTGAGCGTGGGAATATTTAGTAGCCAGGAAATGTCACGGATGGACTATTGCCCAGGTGGCCACCTATCACGGGACCACGCTTGGAGTCACTGAGCTCCTGAGAGCGACTCATTCTTTCACCAATGTTTGTAGAAGCCGTCTGCATGCCTAGGGTCTTGATTGTATACACCTGTGTCCATGGAGGGGGATTGGAGCACCTGAATCACATGATGATGGGAGGGGATTGGAACACCTGAATCACATGATATGGAGGGGATTGGAACACCTGAATCACATGATATGGAGGGGATTGGAACACCTGAATCACATGATATGGAGGGGATTGGAACACCTGAATCACATGATATGGAGGGGATTGGAACACCTGAATCACATGATTGGGAGGTGATTGGAACACCTGAACCACATGATTGGGAGGGGATTGGAACACCTGAATCACATGATTGGGAGGGGATTGGAACACCTGAATCACATGATTGGGAGGGGATTGGAACACCTGAACCACATGATTGGGAGGGGATTGGAACACCTGAATCACATGATTGGGAGGGGATTGGAGCACCTGAATCACATGATTGGGAGGGGATTGGAACACCTGAATCACATGATTGGGAGGGGATTGGAACACCTGAACCACATGATTGGGAGGGGATTGGAACACCTGAATCACATGATTGGGAGGGGATTGGAGCACCTGAATCATATGATCGGGAGGGCAGAGACAACACTTTTGGGATTATCGTGTATACAAGTTAAACAAACATATCCAGGTGAGCATCAGTCAATACATTTTGGGAGGTGTCTACTAAATATGATGAGGAGTAAGTCGAGGATATTTTACCAGATTGTATCAGATAATTGTGTTATTGTACAAGCCAATAGTTACATTTCAGCATTGGAAGATTGTAGCGAGTCGAATGACCTTCTACCACAACTTTGTCAGTAAATGAGGTAAGTTGGGTGGACTGATCCATTATAGACTGTTTCAACCTCAGTCAGGCTACTGCATTTCCTTTCCATCCTGAGTTTATAGACAAATGCATACAACCTCATGGCCTCACCTTATAGAGAATAACAAGAAGAGCCTTCAGCCACATCTGACGGATATGAGGCCTCAGAGACCAGAGGGAACAGCGGGGTGGCTGCTGGAAGTAATGGCGGAGCTGGGGGCAGGTGCAGTATTTTAGAACTTGGACCACCAGGGGCAGAAGGTGCTTTCCAAGATTGATGTTGTAATCCATCACCTGCAAATAAGAAGACGTATACTTAGAAGGAAACAGCAATCTTTTATATTGGGTTGTAGCCAGTAGGGATGGGTGAAATTTTGAGTTTTCTCTTTGACAAAAAACATCACCATTTATGGGCTGCTCAACCAAAATTTCCCCACGTTAATGAAATATGTTGCAGTCAATGAGAAAGGTGCAATGAGGTGGTCTAAGGAGGCCACGGTTTTTGAATGGCTACTGGGAATCAGGGAAGCTCCTTTCAATGATCCTGAAATGGTTCGTCCATCAAAAAAAGCAGCTTCTCATTGGCTGGAAACATAACATTAGATATTGATGGATGGAGGAAACCTAACACTAATTCTAACCCTAACTTTATCAATAAGGATGTGATTGGCCAGAATTCTGCAGAAAAATCAGTTTAGATAAATTCACCGCAATTAAAGCGAATCAGTGGCTCCAAATCCATAGAGCCGATATCGCCAGACGCTGAGAAACTTTACTTCACCTTCAGAGAAGCTTCAAGTCTGGGCACTCTATTATTCGGATGACATTTGCATCCTCTTCCCACACCCCTTTCCTGTTGCACACCAAACATCATGGGCAGCCAGTAGTAGCCCACATGGAAGAAAAATATATTTGAAATACTACAATTTTGACCGTAGACCCTGCCCCCACACAACTCCTACGACCTCCCTCCTCCATCCTACGCTCCCTCACTCACATCTTTAATCTGTCCCTCTCTACTGGCGCATTCCCCTCCCCTCTGAAGCATGCGCACATCACTCCCATACTTAAAAACCCTCCCTGGATCCCACCGACCTAAACATCCTTAGACCCATCTCCCTGCTGCCATTTTCATCCAAACTCCTCGAGCACTTAGTCTACAACTGCCTGAGCGCCCACCTCACTGATAACAACCTCCTTGATCCCCTACAGTCCGGCTTCCATCCCCTACACTCCACCAAAACCGCCTTACTCAAACTCTCCAACGACCTGCTAACCACCAAAGCTAATGGCCACTATTCAGTGCTCCTACTCCTCGACCTCTCTGCGGCTTTCGACACAGTCCACCACCCCCTCCTCCTCAAAACACTATACTCTTTTGGCCTCAGAGACTCCGCTCTCTCCTGGCTCTCGTCCTATCTATCACAGCGCTCCTTCAGCGTTACCTATAATGCTACCACCTCCCCCTCACTCCCCCTCTCTGTTGGGGTCCCCCAAGGTTCTGTCCTCAGGCCCCTTCTCTTCTCCATCTACACCTCCTCCCTCGGCAAACTGATACACTCCCACGGCTTCAATTATCACCTCTATGCCGAGGACACTCAAATCTATCTCTCAACCCCCCGCCTCACCCCCCTCAGTCTCCGCCCGTATCACTAGCCTTCTGAACGACATATCGGATTGGATGTCACTCCACTTCCTCAAACTGAACCTTCCCAAAACCGAGCTTCTAGTTTCCCCCCAGACCCCCCCCCCCCCCCCCCCCCCCCCCCGACCTCTCCATCACGACCAACAACGCCACCATAAGCCCCACCCCGCAAACCAAAGTACTAGGTGTCATCCTAGACTCCAATCTGTCTTTCCAGCCCCAGGTCCAATCGCTGACAAATTCATGCAGACTCCACCTCCTCAACATCTCCAAAATACGTTCGTTCCTAACCCCGGAAACTACAAAGCAACTCATCCACTCCCTCATTATCTCACGTCTGGACTACTGCAACTCCCTCCTCACTGGCCTACCCCAACACAGGCTATCCCAGCTTCAGTCTATCCTGAATTCGGCAGCCAGACTCATCCACCTTACTAACCGCTCTGTATCCGCCACCCCCCTCTGCCATTCCCTCCACTGGCTTCCAATTGCCCAACGGATAAAATTCTAATTACTAACACTGTCGTACAAAGCTGTTCATAACACTGCGCCGTACTACATCACCGACCTGGTATCCAAATACCACCCAAAATGTACTCTCCGCTCCTCACAAGACCTCCTACTCTCTAGTTCCCTGGTCTCCTCCTCCCATGCCCATCTCCAGGACTTCTCCAGGGCTTCCCCCTTCCTCTGGAACTCACTATCCTAATCCATCAGACTGTCACCTACCCTCCTCACCTTTAGGCGCACCTTGAAAACCCATCTGTTCAGAGAAGCCTACCCCACCCTCAACTAATTCCCGATCTCCTCCACTCTTCCCACCACTCCATCCCCCACAGCTATTTCCTCCTGTACCACCATCCCCTCCCTCTTGGATTGTAAGCTCCAAAGAGCAGGGCCCTCGAACCCCTCGTGTATTGTATTGTTACTGTATTGTCTCACGTACTGTACCCCACTATAATGTACAGCGCTGAGCAAACTGTTGGCGCTTTATAAATACTGTATAATTATATATATATATACTGTTCGTCGAAATGCGTTATTATTACAAAATATATGAAAAATATTTTTAAAAATGCATTTTCAAATATACTGTATGTCTTTAAAAATACATTTAATGTACATTTTTGGAATGCGTTTACAAATATATGTAAACATATATGTTAAAATTACTTTTTTTATATGTTAAAAAAAATCTGAAGATATTTAAAAAATATATATTTTTACAAATATTTTTCATATATAAAAACGCATTTCAACATACAGCATATATATATATGTATTGAAATATATTTTGAAATATATTGAATACGGCCAAAATTGTAGTATTTGAAATATGTCAATATATTTGGGAAGAATATTTTTAAAATATATTTCAAATATATTTTTCTTCAACGTGGGAGGGTGCAGAGGAAGCAATGGCATATTTTGGTTTTGTGCTGCCCTAGGCAAGACTAAAATCGGCACCCTCCCCCCCATCTAAATATTGTCCTACCCTTCCTATTAAGATCCACCCCTACCACAGGAAAGACTAAATACCCTCCCACCAAACAGCATCAGGTGAAGACTGATTAACAGAAACTGCTAGGAGAGACACCTGCTGGTGGACACGAACTACAACTCTCCACTCTGGGAAGCACAGTGTCACCAGCAGGTGACTTAGGTCCTGACAACCATAGAAACACAGAAGTGGAACCTCAGACAACAAACAAATGAAACAGTTAAAGATCAATTTAATTGTTAATAAATAAGTCATTAAAATGTGTTAATAAGTCAAAAACATAAACAATGTGTATCAGGGCAACACCACTCCCCCTTCAGCAGGACTACAAGACGTAAATGTGAATATATGTTGATTCTTGTAGACCTGATGAAGGGGGAGTGGTGTTGCCCCCTACAAAATGTGTTGGCTGTTCTTATATGAACTATATACCAACAATTAAATCCCAACTTCAGAAAAACTAAAAGCCGTCTCCTTGAAGTAAGCGGCCCCGCACTGCAAGGGTTAACTGCCCTTTTCTTTCCAGGGAGACAGCAAGAGCAACTTTACTTACCTGATCCTCCGCTCCCCAACCAGACAATGCTACCCTCTGCTATGGTGATGGACTGCTCCTCAGCGCCCGTATGTCCAATGCAGGTCTATATACCGTGCATCAGTCTTGAGAACCTTAGACCACTGGAACAGAGGAGAAGAGGCTGCAGGGACTAGTCTAGCAGGACAGAGGAGCCTGTGGGAGTGGAGGATTGGGCAACCATTTATTCTTGTAGACCTGATGAAGGTCCCCACCAGACAATGCTACCCTGTGCTATGGTGGTGGAGTGCTTCTCAGCGCCCGTATGTCCAATGCAGGTCTATATACTGTGCATCAGTCTTGAGAACCTTAGACCACTGGAACAGAGGAGAAGAGGCTGCAGGGATTAGTCTAGCAGGACAGAGGAGCCTGTGGGAGTGGAGGATTGGGCAACCATTTATTCTTGTAGACCTGATGAAGGTCCCCACCAGACAATGCTACCCTGTGCTATGGTGGTGGACTGCTTCTCAGCGCCCGTATGTCCAATGCAGGTCTATATACTGTGCATCAGTCTTGAGGGCCTTAGACCACTGGAACGTAGAGGAGAAGAGGCTGCAGGGACTAGTCTAGCAGGACAGAGGAGCCAGTGGGAGTGGAGGATTGGGCAACCATTTATTCTTGTAGACCTAATGAAGGTCCCCACCAGACAATGCTACCCTGTGCTATGGTGGTGGACTGCTTCTCAGCGCCCGTATGTCCAATGAAGGTCTATATACCGTGCATCAGTCTTGAGAACCTTAGACCACTGGAACGTAGAGGAGAAGAGGCTGCAGGGACTAGTCTAGCAGGACAGAGGAGCCTGTGGGAGTGGAGGATTGGGTAACTAAAACTGCTGAACCCGTTCCTCTAGAAATAAAGTGAGGGTAATCCTTGCAGTATTTCACCAGGTTGTGGTCTGGCACTCTTCTCTCTTTTTCTATGGTTTGAGCTACCTAGAAATACAACCATTTATTCTTGTAGACCTGATGAAGGTCCCCCACCAGACAATGCTACCCTGTGCTATGGTGGTGGACTGCTTCTCAGCGCCCGTAAGTCCAATGCAGGTCTATATACTGTGCATCAGTCTTGAGGGCCTTAGACCACTGGAACATAGGGGAGAAGAGGCTGCAGGGACTAGTCTAGCAACACAGAGGAGCCTGTGGGAGTGGAGGATTGGGTAACTAAAATTGCTGAACCCGGTCCTCTAGAAATAAAAAGAGTAGTTATCCCTTGCAGTATTTCACCGGGTTGTGGGGTGGCGCTCTTTTTTCTTTCTATGGTTTGAGCTACCTAGAAATACAACCATTTACTGCTCCTCTCTATTGTAAATTTATGGGTCAAGTCTGACTAACTGAAAACAATAGACTTTCACATTTACTTTAGAAGGCAATAGATTAAAAAATAATCCATGCGCTTACTGGATCATGTTAGTGTGGTAACCAGCCATACCTGAGCAATTCCGGCAATAAACGCATTGAAGCACGTGGAGATACGCATTTTCTGAGGAGCGATCATGAAGCAGCCCTCTTGCTGGTCAAACCCCAACAACACATACAGATGTCGCTTGACGGTGTTAAAGGCTTTGGCGCTGCTGATGTCGGCCTCTGCGCTGCTCTTATCCTTGGCCATGAATTTCATGAGAACGGATATCAGCTGATGGACGGTCTGATGGTCAATCCCTGCATCCTCCGGGAGAGGGTCCTTGATGATGTTATCATTTTCTGGCGAATGTTGACCTGTGAGATGAACAGCACATACAATGTTCATGATCAATGTCAGATGGTTGGTATTCCAGGACTATAATTCACATCTGTGTACACATCATAACTTTGTGGTCGTGATACATTTGTTGTGGTTTTTGAAAGTCAACCTCTTGAACATGTGACAGTGTGAGACCCTGCCATTATGTAAATGCGCCAAAAAGTGATTCCAAATTCTCAAAGCTACAGTTCGAGAAGCTATGGCGGGTTAATTGTGAACAGAAAAAGTGGTGTTCTAGGTTTTCTTTGGATTTGGTAGTTCTGGATTGGGGTGAGGAACTTGAAGGTTCCAAAGATTATTGGGCGGGACGGAACCTTGAAACAGGTGTCCAGGTTTTGCTTGACTTTTTCAGCCTGTATGAGGGCACAGATGTGCAGGGTCATTATAAGGTAGATCTGAGCATAGCTCATGCAGTTGGACGTGGAGTTTGAGGTGCAGTTGCTGCAGCCTGGAGGAAGATGGGCTCCTTTCTGGAGACCAAGGCAATATCCTCAAGACCGCACTCCGTGTGGGAGAGGTTCCAGATCACTGGAGAGTTGGGCCAGCTGAGAGAGCCTGGGAGACTAGAGCTGAGACAACTGGGAGAGAGTCCAGGGGAATTTCTGAGTTCCTGAGGAGTGAGAGTGCTTGGGGTATCAGGAGAACCTCTACCTAGGGGCCAAACGTAGGCCTGTGCAGCAAGGTGAGCCTTGGAGACAAGAGCTGAGACAACTGGGAGAGAGTCCAGGGGAATTTCTGAATTCCTGAGGAGTGGGAGCGCTTGGGGTATCAGGAGAATCTCTACCTAGGGGCCAAGAGTAGACCTGTGCAGCAAGGTGAGCCTTGGAGACAAGAGCTGAGACAACTGGGAGAGAGTCCAGGGGAATTTCTGAGTTCCTGAGGAGTGGGAGCGCTTGGGGTATCAGGAGAACCTCTACCTAGGGGCCAAGAGTAGGACTGTGCAGCAAGGTGAGCCTTGGAGACAAGAGCTGAGACAACTGGGAGAGAGTCCAGGGGAATTTCTGAGTTCCTGAGGAGTGGGAGCGCTTGGGGTATCAGGAGAACCTCTACCTAGGGGCCAAGAGTAGGACTGTGCAGCAAGGTGAGCCTTGGAGACAAGAGCTGAGACAACTGGGAGAGAGTCCAGGGGAATTTCTGAGTTCCTGAGGAGTGGGAGCGCTTGGGGTATCAGGAGAACCTCTACCTAGGGGCCAAGAGTAGGACTGTGCAGCAAGGTACTGCAATTAAATTAACTGAGTGAGCCTAAGAGTCAGGTGGCTTGCCATTTTTCGATGGTGTGATGCAGACACCTCCAGCTTGGGAAACGTGATGTTGTAAGGACTTTCTTTTCTGTTTCCTTTTAATTAAAGTGGGCCCTTAACCATAGTTCCTGTCTGCCATGGATTCATTGTACAAACCCATCTACCACAAGAGCTACATACCTCCACATCACAACCATCATTGGTGAGATAGATAAGGATAGCCACAGATGAGTGGATATCTCTAGGAGTCAGTCTGGGAGTGTCTACTTGTTGACTATAGCTCCAGGAGAAGCTGCACTTCCTTTGCAATGCAGTGATGGACTGAAGTAACACACACTCATCTAACAGCTGAATTCTCATTTCTAATTGAGAGTTGGAAATTCTCCATAAGCAGTAACAAGTATTTCTAATAACTCTTATTGTTACCCCGAGTAGCTCTAAGGAACCCAACCCTGATCCAATCATCATGTTAGGCTTCAGATCATAAATTGGCCAAGCTGGATCATGACCACCCTAAAGCAAGAATTATGTGTCATCTGGAGGTATCTACAAGATCTTCGAAGCCTCTGTATTTAGCACTGTTGCTCTTTAAATTTGCCAAAGAAAATAAAATTCGACAGCAACAAAGTTATATGTCTGCTCTGAGTGTCACCTTGCTGCTGCTCAGCGCTGCCCCCGAGCGCAGGAGCCGACTGTTCCTGTCTTGTCAGCCTGACAGCTGGAGAGAGAAGAGAGACAGGAGTTAGTAAACAATCCTTCCAATGTGACAGCAGTGTGAGCGATGACCGAAAAGACCAAAGTCCACGCTCAACGGCTCTAATTCTAATAGGAAAGCAAAGCCACCACTAAGCCAGAGCCAGGATATCTGCAGAGAGCGGGGACAAAAAAATCCGACTTCAACCGATCAAGGGAAGTCTGAGCCAACAAACCAGAAATGTTAAAACTGAAGTTTAATCTGCTTACCTGGTCCCCCCCCCACCCATTTTAACTATAACAACCCCTTTCTCTCCCTAGGAAGGGCTTCTACAAGGTTTTGGAGGTTGTGGGAATTTGTGCCCATCTGCAGGGTCAAGTACTGATGTTGGATGAGAAGACCTGGCTCATGATTGGCATTACAATTCATGCCGAAGGTGTTCAGTAGGGTTTAGAATGTGGAGGTAGGTGGGGAACACCATGTGTGAATAGGAGGTTTTGGAAACTCCAGCCGTTTGGAGAACAATTATCAATTTCATTAGTGTGTGACCTAAAACATGGCCAACGTGTCCCAAGGAATTGGGGCCTTCCCCTTCTTCAGGGCTTTGGTAATGTTGGATCTGTTGGTTGTGTGGACTACAGTCTGTGTACTAAGATGATATTGGTGGTGTTCTAAAGTGTCTCTTGCGACTGCAGCTATAACATCCTCCACTCTTCTGTGGGAATTTGTGTCCATATGTGAGGTCAGGTACTGATGTTGGAAGAGAAGACTTGGCTCACCATCGGTGTACCAGTTCATCCCAAAGGTGTTCAGTAGGGTTTGCAGGGGTAGATTAGTAACGCAATGTGTGGACAGAAGGATTTGGAAACTCCAGCCGGTTGGCGAACAATTATCACTATATTAGTGTATGACCTTAAACATGGCCAGGGTTTTGGTAGCGTTGGATCTGTTGGTCATGAGAAGTGCAGTCTTTGTACTAACAAGATAATGGTGTTCTGAAGTGTCTGTTGTTGAACCTGCATCTAAACCAACCTCCACTCTTTTAGGAAGGATTTCTGCAAGATTTTGGAGTGTCTGAGAGAATTTGTCCCATTTGTGAGGTCAGCTACTCATGTTGGATGAGAAGACCTGGCTCACAATCATCATTCCAGTTCATCTCAAAGGTTTTGTGATTGTGATGGTAGGTAAGGAACGCCATTCGGGAATGAGATTTTGGAAACTCCAACTGGTTAGAGGACAATTATTACTATATTAGTGTATGACCTTAAAGATGGCCAACATGTCTGCGGGAATTTGGGCTCCCCTTTCTTCAGGGCTTTGGTACCATTGGATGTGTTGGTCATGGGAAGTGCAGTCTTTGTACTAAGGTAAGGAACGCCATTCGGGAATGAGATTTTGGAAACTCCAACTGGTTAGAGAACAATTATCACTTTATTAGTGTATGACCTTAAAACATGGCCAACACATCTTCAGGACTTTTGCAATGTTGAAGTGTGGAATGTTGTTGGTAATGAAAACCAGTCTCTGTTGTAATATAATGTTCCTGTTCTGAAGTGAAGCAGCTATACCATATTCCACTCTTCTGGGAAGACTTTCCACAAGATTTTGGAGGGTGCCTATGGGAATTTGTTCCCATTGGTGAGGTCAGATACTGATGTTGGATGAGAAGACCTGGATTACCATTGGCATTCCAATTCATTACAGTGGTGTCCAGTAGGGTTGAGGTCAGGGCTCTGTGCAGGACACTTGAGTTTCTCAGCACCAACCTGGTCAAACCATGCCTTTGTGGAGCCGGCTCTGTACACAGGCAGTGTCGGGGACAGTCTTGGCACCCTTTTCCATGAGTTTTTTAGCATTACAGGCTATAAGTTCTGTCCTTTAGTCTCCTTAGTGCCCAAGGTGACTACCTCTTCTGTCCACCTTTTGGCCTGGCACTCAACACAGTCATGCTGGAACACTGGACTGCCCTCTGCTCCAATCCATCTAGATGGAATGGTGGGGGGATAAGTCCCTTCTTTTTTTTTTAGTGAATTGGATTGGATTGGAGATAGGCGGGTGTACATGGACAAAGGTTTGTTCGTACACCCGCTGGTCCATAGGGGTAAATGGAGGATCCGATTAGGTCTGCCTGAATAACTGAGGCAGACCTTATCAAACATTTTGTGTGAAAGGGGACTCAGACAGTGAATATCAGAACCGAGGAAGGATACCCCCATAGTGGCCAGGTGTCATAGATCTGCAGGGACAGTCACATTTTCTAGACAACTGTGCTGCAGTTGCTTTGTGCTGACCTGTGTCCAAGAATCCAAGCCATGAGGACATCCCTGGGCAATTTAAATAATAATTCCAGGCATGACTATAGTATACACAGTTCCAGCTCAGACCAATGTAACTATGTATATACCGTATCTGACTGATGCCCCTGAGGCTGCAGAGAAAGGAACTAGGGAATCTGTCCTTGGTCCCTTTCTCTGTCTCAACAGTGTCTGTCTGCTTAGACCCCTGATATTTCACCACAGCCCCCTTACAGGGCTGCTGAAAAATGATTAAAAGAACACAATAAAATTGTAAAAATATAACGCAAAAATCAAATTATAATAAAAAACGACTGACACCGCCCACTGCCCTGCTGACACCAACCTCTCCCTTATTGACACCGACCTCTTTGGGATGGGATGGGAGCGACAAACTAAGTCTGCTCCAGGAGCAAGCATGTCTGTCTAGCTTTGACCCCATTGGTGATGGTCAGGAAATGTATTTATGTATTATAGGCTCTGATGTGTACAGTATATACACTATATCACCAAAAGTATTGGGCCGCCGGCCTTTCCACGCACATGACCTTTAATGGCCCCCCAGTCTTAGTCCGTAGGGTTCAATATTGAGTTGGCCCCGCCCTTTCCACACACATAACCTTTAATGGCCCCCCAGTTTTAGTCCGTAGGGTTCAATATTGAGTTGGCCCCGCCCTTTCCACACACATGACCTTTAATGGCCCCCCAGTCTTAGCCCGTAGGGTTCAATATTGAGTTGGCCCCGCCCTTTCCACGCACATAACCTTTAATGGCCCCCCAGTCTTAGTCCGTAGGGTTCAATATTGAGTTGGCCCCGCCCTTTCCACGCACATGACCTTTAATGGCCCCCCAGTCTTAGTCCGTAGGGTTCAATATTGAGTTGGCCCCGCCCTTTCCACACACATAACCTTTAATGGCCCCCCAGTCTTAGTCCGTAGGGTTCAATATTGAGTTGGCCCCGCCCTTTCCACACACATGACCTTTAATGGCCCCCCAGTCTTAGTCCGTAGGGTTCAATATTGAGTTGGCCCCGCCCTTTCCACACACATGACCTTTAATGGCCCCCCAGTCTTAGTCCGTAGGGTTCAATATTGAGTTGGCCCCGCCCTTTCCACACACATGACCTTTAATGGCCCCCCAGTCTTAGTCCGTAGGGATCAATATTGAGTTGGCCCCGCCCTTTGCAGCTATAACTGCTTCAACTCTTCTGGGAAGGCCGTCCACAAGGTTTAGGAGGGTGTCTATGGGAAGGTTGGACCATTCTTCCAGAAGCACATTTGTCAGGTCAGGCACTGATGTCGGGGGAGGAGGCCTGGCTCGCAGTCTCCGCTCTAATTCCTCCCAAAGGTGTTCTATGGGGTTGAGGTCAGGACTCTGTGCAGGACAGTCAAGTTCCTCCACCCCAAACTGGCTCCTCCATGTCTTTATGGACCTTGCTTTGTGCACTGGTGCGCAGTCATGTTGGAACAGGAAGGGGCCATCCCCAAACTCCTCCCACAAAGTTGGGAGCATGAAATTGTCCAAAATGTCTCCTTAAGAGTTCCCTTCACTGGAACTAGGGGGCCAAGCCCACACCCTGAAAATAATCCCCCCTCCACCAAAATTTACACTTGGCACAATGCAGTCAGGCAAGTACCGTTCTCCTGGCAACCGCCAAACCCAGACACGTCCACCGGATTGCCAGACAGAGAAATGTGAATGGTCCCTCCAGAGAACATGCCTCCACTGCTCTACAGTCCAGTGGTGGCATGCTTTACACCACAGCATCTGATGCTTTGCATTGCACTTGGTGATGGAAGGCTTGGATGCAGCTGCTCGGCCATGGAAACCCATTCCATGAAGCTCTCTACGCACTGTTGTTGGGCTCATCTGAAGGCCACACCAAGTTTGGAGGTCTTTAGCTATTGACTCTGCAGACAGTTGGCGACTTCTGCGCACTGTGCGCTTCAGCATGCGCTGACCCCGCCCTGTCATGTGACGTGGCCTACCACTTGGTGGCTGAGTGGCTGTTGTTCCCAGTGGCTTCCACTTTGTTATAATCCCACTAACAGTTGAGCGTGGAATATTTAGTAGCCAGGAAATGTCACGGATGGACTTACTGCCCAGGTGGCCACCTATCACGGGACCACACTTGGAGTCACTGAGCTCCTGAGAGCGACCCATTCTTTCACCAATGTTTGTAGAAGCCGTCTGCACGCCTAGGGGCTTGATTGTATACACCTGTGTCCATGGAGGGGATTGGAGCACCTGAATCACGTGATATGGAGGGTATTGGGACACCCGAATCACATGATTGGGAGGGGATTGGAACACCCGAATCACATGGTATGGAGAGGATTGGAACACCTGAATCACATGATATGGAGGGGATTGGAACACCTGAATCACATGATATGGAAGGGATTGGAACACCTGAATCATATGATATGGAGGGGATTGGAACACCTAAATCACATGATATGGAGGGGATTGGAACACCTGAATGACATGATATGGAGGGGATTGGAACACCTGAATCACATGATTTGAATCCATCTTTTGGCAATATAGTGTACTTTTGTTCATATGGTGTTTATTTGCATATCTTCTATCCTTGAAGCTGTTTGTTATCCTGATGGAGATGAGATAAAGGTAACAGAGAAACAAAGAACAATCTAACTCACGAATTTTGGTGTGCTGAGAGTCTCTGGCAATGACAGGGCCCTCTTGGACTCTGTGGCCCCCTTGACGCTGTCTCGCAGGGACCGCACACTCTTCTGCCTGTTGCGGGCAAACCGCGCTCTTTTGATTTTCCACATGGCGGCGTCGCTCAGGTTGGCCACGTTTGTCCTCACTGCTGTAATTGCTGGAATTTAAATCACAAAGTAAGGAAAGGCCGTTTATATTTTTAATGAATGACGTAACAATCAGATGTTTTTCCTGCAATAGGATGTAATATTTGTCCTTCAGAAATATATAATGTATCAAAGATCATATAATAATATAAAAAGCATCGGAAAGATCACTTCATAAGACAAGAGTGGATGCGCTACAGTCTGCGTTAGGAACAGATTTGTATGACATTGATTGCGTTCACATATACTGTACATCTATGTATATACAGTCAGGTCCATAAATATTGGGACATGGACACAATTCTAACATTTTTGGCTCTATACACCACAATGGATTTGAAATGAAACGAACAAGATGTGCTTTAACTGCAGACTGTCAGCTTAATTTGAGGGCATTTACATCCAAAATCAGGTGAACGGTGTAGGAATTACAACAGTTTGCATATGTTCCTTCCACTTGTTAAGGGACCAAAAGTAATGGGACAGAAAATAATCATAAATCAAACTTTCACTTTTTAATACTTGGTTGCAAATCCTTTGCAGTCAATGACAGCCTGAAGTGTGGAATGCATAGACATCAGCAGACGCTGGGTGTCATCCCTGGTGATGCTCTGCCAGGCCTCTACTGCAACTGTCTTCAGTTCCTGCTTGTTCTTGGGGCATTTTCCCTTCAGTTTTGTCTTCAGCAAGTGAAATGCTCAATCGGATTCAGGTCAGGTGATTGGCCATTGCAGAACATTCCACTTCTTTGGTGTCTTTTGCAGTCTGCTTTGGGTCATTGCCCATCTGCACTGTGAAGCGTCCAATGAGTTGTGAAGCATTTGGCTGAATATGAGCCGATAATATTCCCGAAACACTTCACAATTCATCCGGCTGCTTCTGTCAGCCGTCACATCATCAATAAATACAAGAGAAGCAGTTCCATTGGCAGCCATACATGCCCACGCCATGACACTACCACCACCATGATCACTGATGAGGTGGTATGCTTAGGACCATGAGCAGTTCCTTCTCCATACTCTTCTCTTCCCATCACTCTGGTACAAGTTGATGTCGGTCTCATCTCTCCATAGGATGTTGTTCCAGAACTGTGAAGGCTTTTTTACATGTCGTTTGGCAAACTCTAATCTGGCCTTCCTGTGTTTGAGGCTCACCAATGGTTTCCATCTTGTGGTGAACCCTCTGTATTCACTCTGGTGAAGTCTTCTCTTGATTGGTGACTTTGACACACATACACCTACCTCCTGGAGGGTGTTCTTGATCTGGCCAACTGTTGTGAAGGGTGTTTTCTTCACCAGGGAAAGAATTCTTTGCTCATCCACCACAGTTGTTTTCCGTGGTCTTCCGGGTCTTTTGGTGTTTGCTGAGCTCACCGGTGCGTTCCTTCTTTTTAAGAATGTTCCAAACAGTTGTTTTGGCCACGCCTCATGTTTTTGCTATCTCTCTGATGGGTTTGTTTTGTTTTTTCAGCCTAATGATGGCTTCACTGATAGTGACAGCTCTTTGGATCTCATCTTGAGAGCTGACAGCAACAGATTCCAAATACAAATAGCACACTTGAAATGAACTCTGGACCTTTTATCTGCTCATTGGAATTGGGATAATGAGGGAATAACACACACCTGGCCATGGAACAGCTGAGAAGCCAATTGTCCCATTACTTTTGGTCCCTTAACAAGTGGGAGGCACATATGCAAACTGTTGTAATTCCTACACAGTTCACCTGATTTGGATGTAAATACCCTCAAATTTCGCTATCGTGAAAATGTACTGCTAGGGTGACAGTATGTAAAAAAAAAACCAAAAATACGTAAATAAATATAAAAAATAAAAATTAAAAAAATTATAATTTTTGGTTATAAACGAATTTGGGTTATTTATTTTTTTTTACTAAAAAGATAACGGAATACATTTTGGCCAAGATTTATGATGAAATATTATCTATTTGCAAAATTTTATAAGAAAAAAAAAAACTTTTTTTCCAAACTTTTTGGACATTTATATAGCAAAAAAAAATTAAAATCCCAGCGGCGAATAAATACCACCAAAATAAAGCTTTATTTGTCTCAAAAAATGCTAAAAAATTCATATGGGTACAGTGTTGCATGACCGCGCAATTGTCATTCAAAGTGTGATAGCGCTGAAAGCTGAAAATTGTCCTGGACAGGAAGTGGGGGGAAGTGTCCAGACTGGAAGGGGGGGAAAGTGTCCGGACTGGAAGGGGGGGTGAAAGTGTCCGGACTGGAAGGGGGGGTGAAAGTGTCCGGACTGGAAGGGGGGGTGAAAGTGTCCGGACTGGAAGGGGGGGTGAAAGTGTCCGGACTGGAATGGGGGGTGAAAGTGTCCGAACTGGAAGGGGGGTAAAGTATCCGGACTGGAAGGGGGGAAAAGTGTCCGGACTGGAAGGGGGGGAAAGTGTCCGGACTGGAAGGGGGGGAAAGTGTCCGAACTGGAAGGGGGGTAAAGTATCCGGACTGGAAGGGGGGAAAAGTGTCCGGACTGGAAGGGGGGGAAAGTATCCGGACTGGAAGGGGGGGGGGGGGAAAGTGTCCGGACTGGAAGGGGGGGAAAGTGTCCGAACTGGAAGGGGGGTAAAGTATCCGGACTGGAAGGGGGGGAAAGTGTCCGGTCTGGAAGGGGGGGAAAGTGTCCGGACTGGAAGGGGGGGAAAGTGTCCGGACTGGAAGGGGGGGAAAGTGTCCGGACTGGAAGGGGGGGAAAGTGTCCGAACTGGAAGGGGGGGTAAAGTATCCGGCCAGCTTGCTAACAACCGAATTAACCTGTCTAACAGTATGCGTTTATAACAGGGGTTTAGTTAGCACACATTTGCAAATACATACGTAAGCCACAGAGCCACGACACGGCACCCTGATCATCTGTGGTCCTAACTCTAAAATTTATGAGGGCCCTGGTTGCCATTGTGCTACATGCTGGGGTCCAGTGCACTCCTTTGCCTTTAAGAGGGGTGGCTCCCTCAGGTCCACCTGCCCTTGATCTATCCATTAAATGCATGTGCCTCTACTATGGGGACTCATAAATTTTAGAGTTAGGACCACAGATGATCAGGGTGCCGTGTCGTGGCTCTGTGGCTTACGTATGTATTTGCAAATGTGTGCTAACTAAACCCCTGTTATAAACGCATACTGTTAGACAGGTTAATTCGGTTGTTAGCAAGCTGGCTGGCAAGTTGTCCAAGAACATTGTTCTCTCCCCCTTTTTTTCACTATGTGATGCCTGTTTATGTGTCCTTGCTTCATAAGCCAGTTATAGACTTGGGCGGGTGGCCACTTTTATGCAGGGTAAAGTGTCCGGACTGGAGGGGGGGAACGTGTCCGGACTGGAAGGGGGGGAAAGTGTCCGGACTGGAAGGGGGGGAAAGTGTCCGGACTGGAAGGGGGGGGAAAAAGTGTCCGGACTGGAAGGGGGGGAAAGTGTCCGGACTGGAAGGGGGGGGAAAGTGTCCGGACAGGAAGGGGGGGAAAGTGTCCGGACTTGAAGTGGTTAAAAAAAAAGTCCCAAACCACCAGTTTGTGAGGTTTTACCATGTTTTTTAGCATTAGAGCGTTTTTCCAGCCAAACACACTGATAACAGCACTGATTTACTTTAGCTGACAAATGCGCGGTCACAATGAAATTTATGTCATTTTTTTCCCCACAAACAGAGCTTCCTTTTGGTGGCATTGGATCACCTCTCGGTTTTTTGTTTTTGGCGCTATAAACAGACTTAACATTTTGGATAAAAAAAAATATATATATTTTTGACTTTTTGCTATAAAACATAACCAATAAAAATTTAAAAAAATTTAATTTCTTCATAAATTTAGGCTAAAATGTATTCTGCGACATGTCTTTGCTAAAAGAGCAAAAAAACTCAAAAAAATTGTATACTAATTGGTTTCCATGACGGTTATAGTGTCTACAAATGGAATTTTTTTTTTTCATACTAGAAATGGTGGCGTTCAGCGACTTATAGCGGGACTGCGGCAGGCATTCTGACACTGGGGGGGGGGGGGGAAACTAACTTGGTTTCACTGACATCCCCAGTGACACCAATACAATGATCAGTGCTAATAAAAAGCACTGACACGGTTTACACCCAGATCGCTCCCCTCTCAGCTTCTCCCACAATCGCCGAGAATCGCTGACCTAGACCCGGTGATTGACATCCTCAGGTGCCAATGGCAGCACTGGTGGGGGCGGCGCACACCTCCTACCCGGAAATGCAAAAGCACGTATATTTACTTGATTTTGAACAGCGCGGCCGCCCCCTAGCAATACATCCGCTATGGGGCGGTCTTGAAGTGGTTTAATATATATATATATACATATATATATATACAGTTGCAAGACAAAGTATGTGAACCCCTTGGGATTACATGGAGTTTTGCATGAATTGGGCATAAAATGTGCTCTGAACGTCATCTAAGTCACAACAATAGAACACAGTCTGCTGAACATAATACTACACAAACATTAGATGTTGCCATGGTTTAATTGCACATAAGTATAGATGAATCAGAGTAACTTGCGAGCCACAGGTGTGATAATTACTAGAGGATCGCAAACATGAAACACATAACTACAACTGTGTTGGAAATATTTACAAATATATGTTGCGCTCCTAAATACTTCTCAATAAATAATAATTAAATTATTACCATTAAATTAATTTAAATTATGATACAAATAACTAAAAGTGTATAAATACCAAAAAATATTTAAATAGTTTCAACTAATCAATCTCCTCCAAATAAATATCAAAATTATTTCACATGAAATACTCCACTAAAAAGTTTTTTTTTTTTTTTACCAAGTGCTCATAGATCATCTATTAGTGACATGATGTACTTACTAATACCCTCAATTTCATTTATAAATTCATAATACCCTCATTTAATATAATAAAAGTAGTGAACCAACTAATAACCCTCAACTAAAACGCATTTAGATGATCCCCCATAAATAAAAATAACCAAATGCTCATAAATAATTAATAGTGATTAGTATGAATTTTGATGATATTTGGATTCATACTAATCACTATTAATTATTTATGAGCATTTGGTTATTTTTATTTATGGGGGATCATCTAAATGCGTTTTAGTTGAGGGTTATTAGTTGGTTCACTATTTTTATTATATTAAATGAGGGTATTATGAATTTCAATGAAATTGAGGGTATTAGTAAGTACATCATATCACTAATAGATGATTTATGAGCACTTGGTAAAATATTTTTTTAGAGGAGTATTTCATGTGGAATTATTTTGATATTTATTTGGAGGAGATTGATTAGTTGAAACTATTTAAATATTTTTTGGTATTTATACACTTTTATTAGTTATTTGTATCATAATTTGAATTAATTTAATGGTAATAATTTAATTATTATTTATTGAGAAGTATTTAGGAGCGCAACATATATTTGTAAATTAATTGCACATAACATGTAAACATTCACAGTGCGGGGAGGAAAAAGTATGTGAACCTTTGGACTTAATAACTGGTTGACCCTCCTTTGGCAGCAATAACCTCAACCAAACGTTTCCTGTAGTTGCAGATCAGACCTGCACAACGATCTGGAGTAATTTTGGACCACTCCTCTTCACAAAACTGTTTCAGTGTAGCAATATTCTTGGGATGTCTGGTGTGAATCGCTCTCTTAAGGTCATGCCACAGCATTTCAATGGGGTTGAGGTCAGGACTCTGACTGGGCCACTCCAGAAGGCGTATTCTGTGCTGTTGCAGCCATTGTTTTGTTGAATGACTTGTATGCTTTGGGTCATTGTCCTGTTGCATCACTCATCCTCTGCGGAGCTTCAGTTGGCGGACAGATGGTCGCACGTTTTCCTGCAAAATGTCTTGATAAACTCTGGAATTCATTTTCCCATCAATGACAACAATCCGTCCAGGCCCTGAGGCAGCAAAGCAGCCCCAAACCATGATGCTCCCTCCGCCATGTTTCACAGTGGGGATGAGGTTTTGATGTTGGTGTGCTGGGCCTTTTTTTCTCCACACATAGTGTTGTGTGTTCTTCCCAAACAACTCAATCTTGGTTTCATCTGTCCACAGTATATTCTGCCAGTAGTGCTGTGGAACATCCAGGTGCTCTTTTGCAAACTTCAAACGTGCTGCAATCTTCTTTTTGGACAGCAATGGCTTCCTCCGTGGTGTCTTCCCATGTACTCCATTCTTGTTTAAATGTTTTCCTTATTGTAGATGTGTCAACAAAAATGTTAGCATGTGCCAGAGATTTCTGTAGGTCTTTAGCTGACACTCTGGGATTCTTCTTTACCTCATGCAGCATTCTGCGCTGTGCTCTTGCAGTCATTTTTACAGGATGACCATGCCTAGGGAGAGTAGCAACAGTGCTAAACTTTCTCCATTTGTAGACAGTCTGTCTTACTGTGGACACATGAACATCAAGGCTCAAGGAGATACTTTTGTAACCCTTTCCAGCTTCATGCAAGTCAACAATTCTTGATCGTAGGTCTTCTTAGAGCTCTTTTCTGCAAGGCATGGTTCACATCAGACAGCGCTTCTTGAAACCAGTAAACCCATAACAGGTGTCAGCAACACATCCAATATCATCACACTGATTGGAGTCAAGGTTTGCTCACTCCTGGCTCCAATTAGCTCTGGAAGAAGTCATTAAGATAGGGCCTCACATACTTTTTCCTCCCTGCACTGTGAATGTTTACATGTTATGTGCAATTAAACCATGGCAACATCTAATGTTTGTGTAGTATTATGTTCAGCAGACTGTGTTCTTCTATTGTTGTGACTTAGATGATGTTCAGAGCACATTTTATGCCCAATTCATGCAAAACTCCACGTAATCCCAAGGGGTTCACATACTTTTTCTTGTAACTGTACATATGTGTGTGTGTATATACATATGAAAATATAATGTTTGGGAGATGTAAGTAATTTTCTAGCAACAAAGATGCATATTTTTACATGTAGGAGAGACGTGTCAGGATTGGCCGGGTAGGTAAGTGGTTAAGTCTCACTTGTAGGGAAGGGGAACTCCTTGTTGCAGTCGAGGTGAAGCTGAGCTTCCAGGGACAGAGTATCGAATCGGTTTACGAAGAATTCCCAGCTCAGTGCCGGGATGTCCTGCTTCAGGAAGTGGAGGAGAAGAAGCTTGCTGAGGATGGTCGGCCGGTCCTTCACCACCACCGTGTCAAACTGGAAGTCCAGGCAGAGGCACAGACCCTGCAGAGGTGGGGCAGAGAGAAGAATGAGGAGCATCTCCGATGGCAGAAGTTCAGCCAAAACAAAGATCTTTCTACAGTTCCCAATGGCAGAGCTCTTTAGATCTCTAGCTACAGTCTGGTGATAATTCTGAAAGCATATCCATATTCTCAATGTAAAAATCCAATATTCATTTCTGTATAGTATTTTAATTAATTCTAACCTACCCTTAGCACTCTGAATGATCTTGAAGTTTCTGAACTTGCTTTGTGAAGATCCCACACGGGAGATTGTTCCTCTTGACCATCAATGTGAAGAACGTTCTTCCTCTTGACCAACGTTCTTCCTCTTGACCATCAATGTGAGGAACATTCTTCCTCTTGACCATCAATGTGAGGAACGTTCTTCCTCTTGACCATCCATGTGAGAAACGTTCTTCCTCTTGACCATCCATGTGTGAGAAACGTTCTTCCTCTTGGCCATCAATGTGAGGAACGTTCTTCCTCTTGACCATCAATGTGAGGAACGTTCTTCCTCTTGACCATCAATGTGAGGAACGTTCTTCTTCTTGACCATCAATGTGAGGAACGTTCTTCCTCTTGACCATCAATGTGAGGAACGTTCTTCCTCTTGACCATCAATGTGAGGAACGTTCTTCCTCTTGACCATCAATGTGAGGAACGTTCTTCCTCTTGACCATCAATGTGAGGAACGTTCTTCGTCTTGATAATCACACTAATGTACCAAGAGCTGTAGAAACAGTCATTATTGGCAGGGGGTCCCTGAGACCTGAAAGTTATTTTAAGGGTTCCTCCATGCTAAAAAGGCTGAGGAAGACTGATCTAGTGTATTCTAGCCCCACCATAGCACTCTAGGAACCTTCTGGAACATGCTTAGGAGGCCCAGGCAACCTCAAATGACTATTCTCAGATAGAAAATGTGTTACAAGGCACTTTCAAAGCACCACGCTCCTCACCATGTTCTGGAGAGTAAGCCTAGCTGTCCTGCAGATTAAAACTCTTACTCGGGGGTCTCCAAACATTTTTTAAAAAAGGCCAGTTTACTGTCCTTCAGGCTTTGGGGGGGGCCGGACTGTGGCCAGTGTGAGCAGTAAATGTTCCGGCATCTCTGGAGTAAAGAATGCCTCATCACTGGTTTTAACAGGAGGAATAGTGATCTATCAGTGGTGTCAATGAGAGGAATAGTGCCCCATCATTGGTGTCAATGGGAGGAATAGTGCCCTATCATTGGTGTCAGTGGGAGGAATAGTGCTCCATCATTGGTGTCAGTGGGAGGAATAGTGCCCCATCATTGGTGTAAGAGGAAGGAATAGTGCCCCATCATTGGTGTCAGTGGGAGGAATAGTGCCCCATCATTGGTGTCAGTGGGAGGAATAGTGCCCCATCATTGGTGTCAGTGGGAGGAATAGTGCCCCATCATTGGTGTCAGTGGGAGGAATAGTGCCCCATCATTGGTGTCAGTGGAAGGAATAGTGCCCCATCATTGGTGTCAGTGGGAGGAATAGTGCCCCATCATTGGTCTCAGCAGGAGGAACAGTGCCCCATCGATGGTGTCAGTGGGAGTAATGATGCCTCTCCATTGGTGTCAGTCGGAGGAATAGTGTCCCATCATTGGTGTCAGTTGGAGGAATAGTGTCCCCAAGGGCCAGACAGAGGTAAGCAAAGGGCTGCATCTGGCCCCTGGGCCACAGTTTGGAGACCCCTGTTCTAAGCAATTCCCCAAAGAACCTCATTATTTTGCTCGGTTTCCATGGCGGAGGATACCTATGTAGTGTACAATTTCTAATGACAGAAGAACAATGACAAACATTTGCCAAACTTTATTCACAAACTCACCTGCAAGGCGGGTCGCTTGATGGTGTCCAGCAGAAGACCGGCTCGTGTGGCCACAGCTGGGTTGACGTCTTCCACGGCGGTCAAGAAGCAGCAGAAGGCGTGGGCCAGCGAATATTTCAACAAGTGGTTCTTTGTCAGCGAGTGGATGTCCAGAAACCGGCAGAGAACCGCCACCTTCTCCACTGGAATGAAAATCACAGTCAGACTCACCAACACCGTGACCACTATGGAGACCAGTTGGCAATACAAATGTCCTCCACCAGTGAAACACCCAAAGATGATCAAAAAGAGTCTTTCAATGGCCCCCGTTATAATCTATGCAACTTAAGGTCGCAACAACTTTAACCCCTTCCTGTCCGTCGTATATAAACGGCCTCCCCGCCCCCTGCTTGTGCACGCCCCCCTGGGAGTGCGCAGCACCGCGATCCGGTGCCAGCTGTGTCCTCCAGACACAGCGGAACACTGATCGTCGTACGGCACCTCTGTGCGAGGTCCCGATCATGTGATCACTGATTGTTCTGAAGAACAACCCCACACCATAATCCCCCACCACCAAACTTTACACTTGGCACAATGCAGTCAGGGAAGTACCGTTCTCCTGGCAACCGCCAAACCCAGACTGCCAGACAGAGAAGCGTGATTGGTCACTCCAGAGAACACGCCTCCCCTGCTCTAGAGTCCAGTGGCGGCGTGCTTTACACCACGGCATCCGACGCTTTGCATTGCACTTGGTGAGGAAGGCTTGGATGCAGCTGCTCGGTCATGGAAACCCATTCCATGAAGCTCTCTACGCACTGTTTGTTGGGCTCATCTGAAGGCCACACCCAAGTTTGGAGGTCTTTAGCTATTGACTCTGCAGACAGTTGGCGACTTCTGCGCACTGTGCGCTTCAGCATGCGCTGACCCCGCCCTGTCATGTGACGTGGCCTACCACTTGGTGGCTGAGTGGCTGTTGTTCCCAGTGGCTTCCACTTTGTTATAATCCCACTAACAGTTGAGCGTGGAATATTTAGTAGCCAGGAAATGTCACGGATGGACTTATTGCCCAGATGGCCACCTATCACGGGACCACGCTTGGAGTCACTGAGCTCCTGAGAGCGACCCATTCTTTCACCAATGTTTGTAGAAGCCGTCTGCATGCCTAGGAGCTTGATTGTATACACCTGTGTCCATGGAGGGGATTGGAACACCGGAATCACATGATATGGAGGGGATTGGAACACCTGAATCACATGATATGGAGGGGATTGGAACACCTAAAACACATGATTTGGAGGGGATTGGAACACCTGAATCACATGATTTGGAGGGGATTGGAACACCTGAATCACCTGATTGGAAAACCTGAATCACATGATTGGAGGGGATTGGAACACCTGAATCTCATGATTGGAGGGGATTGGAACACCTGAATCTCATGATTGGGAGGGGATTGGAACACCTGAATCACATGATATGGAGGGGATTGGAACACCTGAATCACATGATTGGAGAGGATTGGAACACCTGAATCACATGATTGGAGAGGATTGGAACACCTGAATCACATGATTGGGAGGGGATTGGAACACCTGAATCTCATGATTTGGAGGGGATTGGAACACCTGAATCTCATGATTTGGAGGGGATTGGAACACCTGAATCTCATGATTTGGAGGGGATTGGAACACCTGAATCTCATGATTTGGAGGGGATTGGAACACCTGAATCACATGATTTGGAGGGGATTGGAACACCTGAATCACATGATTTGGAGGGGATTGGAACACCTGAATCACATGATTTGGAGGGCTGGGCCAATACTTTGGGCAATGTATGTAAAAATAGCACCATTAAAGAATCTAGGGATGTTGCTACATGTTATAGTTTGTTACTTTTTATCGCGCCTGCAATTGTTTTCCATTATATGGTCACCTCTTCATGTATGTACAATGTATACTTTTATGTATGATGTCTTTTATACTATTTTCAATAAACTAAAGAATTTTATTATACTGCATAAGGCTATATGGATATATTTCTGCATAAAAGTCGCGATATTTAGAGGTTATTATTCTATTTGTGATTAAGGAATACAGCAAAACTCTGCAAGTATGGCCAAAAGTGGGCACAAACCTTTGGGACCACTTTTGTGGGATTGTGGCCGCCCCCCCACCCCTCTCAAATGGGCTTGTTTGAAGTTGTAAATGGTGGGTTTGTCACGTGCAGGTGCGGATTGACAACTCATGGGGCCCCCGGGCAATAGGGGATTATGGGGCCCCTGTGTCCTCGCCCACACTCAAACCACACCCAAAAAAAAGCCTATGAAAGGTACCAGGGGCATCTCATGGGGCCTCCTATTGACCCCCGGCCCTTGGGAGTGCCCGAGTGCTCAAATGATCAGTACGCCCCTGGTCACATGTGGGGAAATTTGGTGTTGGCCCCTTTTAAATTTGGTTAAGCAGAATTCCAGGGATCCAATCGGAGTCACGGACGTTTCTGGAGCATTGGCGGAAAGGATATAAGGGGCACCTGGATCGTTTGGGATCAGTGGCCAACCTGCAAGCAGAAGAGCTCCCCACCCCTTTTTTTTTTGTTGTCGTGAGCACTTTGTGTGGTGCTGTCACCCTGGAGTCAGGTGGGACGTTTTCAGGGTTCAGATGTTGTATCTGACGGTTCGGGTTCCAATAACTGAGCCAGAAGAGGGGAATTTATGATATTCTGCATGTTGATTCTCATCAATGGTTCTTGTAGTATGTACTGTACATGGCAGAGGCGGACTGACCATTTGGAAACTCGGGCACTGCCCGAGGGCCCGGGGGGTCAGTAGGGGGCCCCATGAGGTGCCCCTGGTACCTTTTTCATAAGCTTTTTTGAGTTTGGGCAAGTACACAGGGACCCCATGATCCCCTATTGAGGGCCCGGGGTCAGTAGGGGGCCCCATGAGATGCCTCGGTACCTTTTTTCGTAGGCTTTTTTTGAGTTTGGGCAAGGACACAGGGGCCCCATGATCCCCTATTGCCCGGGGGGCCCCATGAGTTGTCAGTCCGCCCCTGGTACATGGTTTTATCTGTGTAACACCAATAAAGAGCCGCGGCCATTTCTCACCACGATCAGCCTAATGGTATCTTTTCTTTATATATCAAAAATGCAGCGCTACAAAAAAGTACTACATATAGTGAATGAAGGAGTACTATAAATGGTAAATGAATATATCAGATACCAGATGAAATAAATACATGAATAAATAAATAAATAGAGGAGTCAGTAAATGCAGCAGTTCATAGTATAAGGTGACTTCAAGTGCTCTCCTCTAATTCGTATCCTCCTAATACTCAGGCGCTGTGCGAAATAGTGCTGAAGGAATGCACACTCACCAGAACGCACAGTAAAATGAGCGTTTGTCAAAATAAATTCCCCTCAGGGTCATCAGCTGGTCAGGATAAGATTTGCAGTATGACAACCTCCCTCCAGAGCTCCTGGATATTCCTGTATGGTCCCTCAATAGGTGGCTTATGGACTTCTCCTTCCAGCTCACATACGCTCCTTACCCAGCAGAGAGATGGATGGCTGCATTGGCAAATCCCCCCAGACGACGTGCGTGTGCACGAAACGCGTAGGAGGAGCCAGGAACGCCGTGACGTCACGCCACCGGAGCATCGTGGAGCTCCAGTGGCCATCTTTAATATTGGACGGTCAGTCCACACTTCTCTTATACACACTGTGGTGTATGATCGATAGCTTGGTATGCCAATAAACCTTCATTACCTACTACACTATGGATATGTCTCTGTCTTGACTCCCTTGGGGAGTATCAATTTGCAGCCATCCATCTCTCTGCTGGGTAAGGAGCGTATGTGAGCTGGAAGGAGAAGTCCATAAGCCACCTATTGAGGGAACATACAGGAATATCCAGGAGCTCTGGAGGGAGGTTGTCATACTGCAGATCTTATCCTGACCAGCTGATGACCCTGAGGAGAATTTATTTTGACAAACGCTCATTTTACTGTGCGTTCTGGTGAGTGTGCATTCCTTCAGCACTATTTCGCACAGCGCCTGAGTATTAGGAGGATACGAATTAGAGGAGAGCACTTGAAGTCACCTTATACTATGAACTGCTGCATTTACTGACTCCTCTATTTATTTATTTATTCATGTATTTATTTCATCTGGTACCTGATATATTCATTTACCATTTATAGTACTCCTTCATTCACTATATGTAGTACTTTTTTGTAGCGCTGCATTTTTGATATATATTGTTTTTTTTTGGGGTGTTTGGTTACCTGATGTTCAGCTGCTACTGTATCCTCATAGGTGCGCTCGTACGCATTTTTCACATTATTTGGTATCTTTTCTTTAATTGGTCGTATTTGGGGAATGTTCTGGGTTGTGTGTGGGGGGGGGGGGGTCTGCAATCCCGTTACCTATTCTCACAAGTGTGAGGGGGGGCGTTAGAAGGGCCATCACCAACCCCAGGCCTGCTCTTCACTTCTGTACTAGCGCTCCTCAAGGGTTGAAAGTTTAGAGGCCCTTAACAATGGGGGGGGGCTGAGCTTCGGTATGGCTGGATCAACCTACTATGGGGCACCTAGGGCAGGGTGTATGTACCACAAGGCAAACAAGGCATTTGCCTAGGGCGGCATTTTTCAGGGGGGCAGCACTGCCCCTTGGAAGAAGGGATGGAAGAAGAGACACATGCGGCATGGGGACCTGGTGGTTTCCGAAAGAGGCTGCAGGTTTCATGACGATGTATGCAGAGCCCGACTCTCGTTTCCGGGGATGCCCGGAGCTGTGAAGGTGAGTGACTCTCTCTCTCTTGCCATGGGGGGATGGTGGCTGGTTTATGGGGGGCAGTGGTAGTGGAAGGCTCTCTCAGGTGGGGGGCAGGGGTGTTCTTTGTCAATGTCAGACTGTCTGCAGGGGGCACTGATTTTTGTGTTGCCTAGGGCCGCACAAAACCTAAATACATCACTGACCTAGGGTGCAGAAGAACCTGACATCTGTCCAGACTGGGCCCCCCATCCTGAAGGATCCAACTAGTGTGGTGGGCTTGAGGGGCGGGGGGGGGGGGGGATAGGCAGCAGCCCTCCAGTCATGGGAATACCGGTCAA